CACACACAAACAAACATACACACACACACACACACTCACTCACACACACACACACACACACACACACAGAAATTAATGACAGAATTTTCATTTTTGGGTGAACTATTTTATATATTTTTATATTCATATATATATTTTGCTGTGTTTTCTGGTGTGAGGCTCAGCTCACCATGATGGTGGAGAGGCCGGAGATGCCCAGCAAGCAGCCCATGCCCGTGTTAAAGCTGTCACTCAGCATGAAGGGCACCATCCCGCCCACCGACGCCGCCATCAGACCTGCGTTCAGCATGTGACGGCCCGGCAGCAGCAGAGGAGCCGAGTCCAACAAACCTGCACACACACACAGGAGCGACGAGATGTGCATGAGAACATCTTCATCCTCATCACATCAAACTGAGTTCAGCGGTAAACGATGAATAAAATCACAGTGATGAACAACTGGGAGATATTCAGGCTGAAACATGCAGAGCAGAACTAAAGAGAACGACTAAAAATAGCTGCTATTTAAAAAAAAAAAAAGTGTTTAATGGAAACAAATCCACCTTGTAACTTTCCGTAGGCGACCAGAGAGCCGCTGAAGGTCACTCCGCCGATGTAGGTGCCCAGATACGCCACGATCTTCAGCACGCTGGCGGCCGGATGAGCGTCCAGGTGCGGCTGCTCGATCATGAACTCGGCGACGCAGGTGAGAACCGCTGCCAGACCCACCAGACTGTGGAATGCAGCGACCAGCTGAGGCAGATCTGAGATCTCGATGCGCTTGGCGATGGTCAGACCTGAGGATATTATATAACACACACACACACACAATCGGTGTGAGAAAGCACACTAGGTCACACTAGACTGTGAGCATGCTAAATATTTCTTCAGACACTGCAACGGATGAGACATGACATCACATTTCATAAACTCAACACTAGGGGTCGACCGATATGTGTTTTTCTGGGCCGATGCCGATTATTACAGATCAAGTAGATGATAACCGATATTTTGAACCGATATATATGTCTTTGGTGTAAAAATTAAAATTAATGTCAAAATTAAGAATAACAAGGGCTCTGACAAAAACTTTCTTTAAATTATTTTATCGGCAAATCGGTTTTTAAAATGACTGATACCGATAACCATAAAAAAACGTAATATCGTCGCCGATAATCGGTCGACACATGATTCCTTATTTTATGCCGAATCCTGATTTCAAGGTCAGAATTATGGCCAGAAACAGAAGAAAATGCAAACATAAGCTGATGTTAAAAGCTGGCATCCAAACAGACACAGAATATAACAGGTTTTGTGAAAAAAGCTTATTTATTTATAAACTTGTAAAGTTCTTAAATGGAGTATTTGAACATATTTTTCCACTTCTTTTGCAGATTGTACGTTAAATGATATTTGAATATTTCCTTTAGTCATTAAAACTGAAACTTGACTTGACAAACTTGACTGCTTTTGTTATTTTTAAAAGTGCATTACAGCTGAAACATATATAATTTGATAAATCTTACAGTCTTATTTTGTGAAAAAAACTGTACTTGATAGGTTTTATTTTTATTATATTTTTCAAATCAGCATCATCAAATTAGGTAATATTATGCCTTTTTTTTTTGCAAATCAGCCGAATTGTTTTTCAAGATGCAGGTGTGTGTAATAATACACAATCTACTCCACTTTCCTGCAGCACTGCAAATGTGCAGCTTTAATGTTTGTGTTGTTTTAATCCACCAATCATGAACTTTGGAATGTTTCCATTGTAGGTTAGTGTGAGCGGGCCTTTAGTCTGAGAATCAACAATAAAATCCAGTGCTGGAACAAGTGGCTCTTACCCAGAGTTCCACCTGTTGCCATGGCGAGCGACATCTGCGACAGGAGCTCAGGCGAGGGCTTCAGAGCGCCCAGCGTAGCTGTGATTCCTCCTGCCACCCCGATCATTCCCAGCGCATTACCCAGACGACTGGTGCGCTGAGCCGAGAGTCCAGCCAGAGCGCCGACACAACACAGACCCGAGCCCAGATACATCATCTACACACACACACACTGATTCAGACCCGAGCCCAGATACATCATCTACACACACACACTGATTCAGACTCGAGCCCAGATACATCATCTACACACACACACACACACACACACACACAGATTCAGACCCGAGCCCAGATACATCATCTACACACACACACACACACACACACACACAGATTCAGACCCGAGCCCAGATACATCATCTACACACACACACACACACACACACACACACACAGACACACACACACACAGTCAGATCATCTTCAGACATACAGTCAGCTCAACTACAGACACACACAGACAGATCATCTACAGACATACACACACACACACACACACACACAGTCAGATCATCT